GGGCCCCCCGCTCTGCCCCCGGCCCGGTCCCGGCCCCACAGCATCCTCCCGGCCCGGCCGTAGCCCTCCACAGGCTGCATCCCCCCGGCCCGGCCGCATCCCCTCCCGGGCTCCTTCCTCCCCATCCGGCGGCATCCCACCGGCCTGCCTGCATCCCCCCCACCGGGCTGCACACCCCCCGGCCCGGCTGCATCCGCTCCCTGGGCTCCTGCCTCCTCACCGGGCTGCATCCCCTCCAGCCCACCTGCATCCCTCCCACCAGGCAGCATCCCCCCGTCCCGCCTGCATCCTTTCCCCCCGTACTCCAACCCCCCGAGCAGTCTGCATCACCTCGGCCGGGCTCCAGCCGCTCACCGGGAGGCAGGCCGTCATCCTCCTCATCCTCGGTGCCTCCGCCGTGGCGATGCAGCGTCTGCCCAAACCCTCCAGCCTTGCCTGGCAGTGGGGAGGTCCCCGGCGGGAAGGGGAAGCTTCACTGAGCCACGGCCTCGGTGCTGCGGGGGGTGAAGGCAGCCGGGCCATGCCAAGGGGAGCCCTGGCCGGATTTATTTATGTTTCATAGATGGGAAAAATATGTATAAGTGAAGCTGCTGCACGGGGCCCTGTCTGTGGTAGTCCCATAGGAAGAGGTTCCCCTTGGAGTGTGCCGGGACCTGGCTGGGGATGGGTTTGGGGTTCAACAGGAGGTTGGCAGGCTGGGACGGGCTGGGCAGTCTGGGGTGCCCAGGGGTGAGGCGGCAGAGTTGGGAGAAGTTTGTATGTAACAGTGCCATGACCCCGGGGAGATGCCGGTGGGCCGTGGAAGTGGCTGACACGGAGTTGGGACTGTGGGTGGGGGGATTTTGGAGCTCAACCCCGCTCAGGCCTTTTGGCTGGTGCTTTCTAATCTGGCTGCTCTCACCAAGAACCCAAATGCGGTGGCACAGCGGTTCCTGGGCTCGGCCGCACAGGACCCTGCCGGGGTCCCACAGCCCCTCTGCAGGACGGTTTTCAGCTCTGGACCACGACTGAAACACCCCACGCTGCTGCTTTGCCCCCCAAACTCCCAATCACCATGGGAGTGAGCGGGGCATCGCTCTGCCGCTGCTGTGCCCCTCGCGGGGAGGTCCCCGGGGTTGGGATGCAGCTCCCCGGTCGGCATCCCAGGCACTGACTTGCGCCACGTTCCCGCACGGATCCTGCCGTTGCCTCTCCTTGCTCCGAGCCCTGTCCCATCCCACCGCTCTGCGTGAGGGGCTGCGGCTCAGCCTGGAGCTGTTGGTCCACGCGTGGCCCCAGAGCAACCTTGGAAGAGGGACAGTGAAGTGTCCATGAAGCAGCAGTGGTTTTGGGGTGCATGGGAGACTTTTTGGGGGGCAGACAGGCTCCGAGGCCCCTCAGAGGTGCGGGATTACAGAAGTTTATCCCACATGGAGTGACGCTCTTGTTAGGATTGACGCAGCTGAGGAATTGCCACCTCCCTGCCGTGGACAGGACCGAGCAGAGCTGAAGAGTGTGGTGAAGCCATCCTGGTGGGGATGCTCCTTCCCCGCATCCTGTGACGGTGCGTGGGTGAAGCACACCCTGGTGTTGCTGGGACAGCTCAGCCCAGGCCGACTGGAGGGTTTGGGGGTGTCTGGGGGGATGCCACCCCACAAATCCTTTGTGCTCAGAGGGAAGCATCTCTCCAGCCGCTATGGATCATGCTGCACCTGCCGCGGGTAGCCCTGGCGTCACTTTCCCTAAAACACCCCCAAACCTGGGTGCCTGCAACGTGTGTCAGCCATGGGCATCCCTGCCAACACTCACCCATTGCTTTTCACACAGAAACGGGGTGATTCCCAGGAGGGGAGTGAATCCAGGGCCAGATTCCTGATGCCGGCACATTGGTGTGGGTCTGGACCGGCTCCTGGCAGTGTTGTCCTGGGTTGCCGCCAGCGTAAGCAGGAGCTGAGCTTGGCCCTGAGTCCCTGCCGCCACCGCCGCGTCCCAAGGACGTGACGCAGACGCGGAGGCTCTGCTCAGCACTTCTCCCCATCTGGCGGCCGCAGGGCTGGGCCAGGCACTGGCGAGGCGAAGGGGACAGTGGCCGGGGACAAGTGGGCTGGGAGGTTATCTTGCCACAAGCACCCTAGGGAGACTTTGCATCAGCGTGAGCCTGGAATAAAATGTGTGAATCCATGTTTTTTTGGTTAATCCTCATATACTAAACCCTGATTTTGCTGGATTAATAGAAGTTTATCCTTTTTTTTTTTTTTTTTTTTAAATCACCTTAAGGTTCACGCAAGTCACCATCCTTCATGTGCTGTGGTTGTGCAGGGAGCTGGTAAAAGCATCCCGCGATGCAGCATCCTTCCTTTGGGATGGGTACCACTGGCTGCAGCCCGGCTTCAGTGCAGTCCTCAGGGCTGGGAGGCTTTTAGGTCTTGCTTGTACTTTGGGACAGGCTCCAGCAGAAACCAAGGCAGTGTCTGGGACTAAAACGCCAACTGACATTGCCCACGGTGGGAGTTGGGGCCAGTTTGCTTCCGATGGGGCAGCAGATCTGAGGCTGAGCATCATTGGAGCAGGAAGGTGGGAGCCAAGCAGCTGCTCCCATTAGCCCCGTCCAGTCCTGCAAGGGTCGAAGGGCTTTATTCCCTGTCTGAGCATGGCAGTTGGGCTTTGAATCTCTAAATCTGGGTTTTGAGATGTAAATACAGAAGAGGAGCACTGCCTCCTGCCTGTTTGCTGGAGGTCTGGGGGTGGCACAGAGTGAAAACAAAAAGGAAAAGTTGCTCAGCGCTGGGTGATTTTTCTGGCTGTCCTGCAGCACCTTGCTTTCTGTGCTGGGGTTACTCCACCTGGTTTCCAGCCTGGATCATGTCTCCCCAAAACCAGAAAGTGGCTCCAAGGATTACCCTGGGATTGGCAGTTCCCTCTCCCCAGGCTGCTGTGCTCCCGCTGGGAATGGGGATCCCTCCTGGGATCCTTCTGGCTTCTGCACACACACGTAGGTGCGAGTGGGAAGAGGCACCCAGGGAAGAGCTGTGGCCGTTTCCAAACTTGCACTGGCTGTGACCAAAGGAGACGCTGCCACAACACTGGGATATTTGCTACCTGAGCATGTGAATTCTCTGGAGTCTAATACCGTGGGAGAGCACAGCACTTATCCCTGGGCTGTATCCTCCTGGAGAGCCAGGCGTCTTCAGGACACTGGCTTGAACCATTTCGGCCCCTGTACTCTTGTCTCAAAAGTAAGCCCCGGGGACCATTTAGCAGCGCTTGAAATAAATGATGTGCAGAGCCAGAGATGGCATGTGAGCCTAGCAGGGCCTTGAAAGAGCCCTGGGAGGGAAAATATAACTGTGGCGAGGTATTCCCCAGCGTGAGACTGCTCCAGGTGTCTCTGGAATAACAAGCCCCTTGGTAGGAGTCAGGGAAGAGTCGCTCTGGTCTGTGGGAAGGCAGCCGCTCTGGCCTGCTGCTGCACCGGGGATACTTGAGGGTGTAGAGCAACCTCTTCGCTTCACAGCACGAAGGCATCCGACAGGCATGTGCTGATCCCGCTGTGCTGAGGGGGACGGGCATCCCGGCCGACAGGGTCCCTCTGGACGGCTCACCGGGCGTTGGCAGTGCACGGCCTGCCTCTGCGAGGTTAATTAACTTTCACCTCGTGCTCCCGCAGGTGGATTTTCCACCGCCTCTCCCTGGTCTCCAGGCAGGGCTCCGTGCTGTCTCCAGCCTGGCTGACGTCAGGGAGGGCGCAGGGTGCCGCGCCGGGGGGGTGCAGCCGCCTCCTGCTCCTTGGAGACCGGCTGCTCTGCTCCCCGTGCCCGGTGCCTGCGCGGGGGGAGCCGCCACTTGCTGCCAAGATGGGTTTCAGGGTGAGCGCCTGCCGAGGGGAAATCCTGCTTGGGGTGGCGGGAGGAGGCTGGAAATCCCCATCGGGGTGAGGGGGGGAGAGAAGTGGGCAGGGTTTGCAGGGGGGCAGAGGAGGCTCCAGCCCTGGGTGACCCTGGCCCTTTGTCTTGCTGGGGTCACCCAAGGTCCCAGGGGAGTGATGTGGAGTGGGGACATCCCTCCTCTGCCTGCACCCATCGCCACGGGCAGCAGAGACCTGCTGGGGTTTTGTTTTCCAGTGAAAGGTCTCTGCCTTGGGAGGAGTTTGGGGAGTCATGGGCCCCCCGCTGTGGCCAAGGGGAAGGGGCTGCTTGTGCTTTACCCCCCTTTTGTCAGAGCATTGCACCCTCCTTTACCCCCTTGCAGTGCTGGAGGGGGCAGAGGTGCTTGAAAGGGTGTGAAAACTGAGCACCAGCTCCAGGTGTGTGTGTCCCCTGGTGTGTGTGACCCACGCAGGTGTGTGGGTGCCCCACAGCCCCGGTCCCCCTGGCAGCATCCCCAGCTGGACCAGCAGTATGTCCCCCAAAGCGCAAGCACCCTCCATGCTCTTGGGAGTCTGACCCATCTGCTTGCACACCCACAGCACCCCAGGGTGTCCCCCTGCCCTTTTCCAGAGGGGGAAACTGAGGCACAGAAGAGCCAAGAGGGGCTGTGTCACAGCAGGAACGCGAAGCAGGATTTGCCCTATGCAGCAGAGCAGCATTTCGCACTTTTGCAAAATCTCCATCCCGCGCAGGGAGGGCTGAGCAGCGGCTCAGGGGGAGCGAGAGCATCTCCTCAGCCGTGCGATGGGGCTTTCCCTGTGGCACGGGACTGTCTCGATTGCTTCCCTTTCCAGCCCCGCTGGTGAAACTTTCAGTAAACAAGAAGTGCTTTTGGATTTCACAGAGGTTTGCTGGGCTTGTTTTCCCCTGTGGGCCAGAGCGTCAGCCCACGCTGGGGCACGAGGGTCCCATCTGGGTCCTTGATGTCCCCTCCAGTCTCTCAAGGCTGGGTGGGGTGAATTTTCCCCACCTGGAGCCTGGAAATTAAAGTATCTCTCTCCACTTCTCCCATCCTTGCCTTGATCCCAGCTCCCAGTACGTCTCTGCATGGTGGTGGTGGGGGCTGCCCAGGGCTCTGTCCCCATTCCAGCCTTGGGTCCTGCCATGGCTGCCAGCCTGGGGTGGGCAGGGGAACAGATGAAGGCAGGCTGGTGGGAATGGAGGGGAGTTTTTAGGAAGGTTTTTGCTGTTGTTTTGCTGCAGTAGTGTGTCGGGAAGGTTTTTTTTGGGGGGGGCAGGTGCTTTCTCTGTGTGCATTCAAGGTGTCTGCTATTTCCCCTCCAAGGGTCTGGGGTGTATTTAGGATGTGTGATCGGGGCTGACCCCAAAACCGTTTGATGGTTTGTGTTAGGAGAGTGTTTTTTCTTAACAGACGTGGTAGCTGGTCAGGGTGCTGCTGAGCCTAGCCAGCCCCGCGGGGCTACTGCACATCCTTGGCCTTTTGCTTTGCTGTCCCCAGCTCTTTTGGGTATTAATTTTCAGTAATTAATCTCTGTGGCCATTAGCCAGGTCATGGCTCTGGAGAGGCTGCCTGGTTGGGGTGTCTGGCTCCTGGCAGAGCTGTCACCCCCTCGTGTGGTGCTGGTGGGACATCGCTGTGGGGACTCACTGCAAGGAGATGGGGACCACCAGCCTCTCCCGTGCCTGTGCTACCTGCTCCCCCCGCCGCAGGCAGCAAGAAGGGGGCTGGTTTTGTCTGTTTTGCACCTTTCTGGGTGCACCCACCTCTCCCAACCATGATGGGTGGGCACAGGGGGGCTGATTTTCACCCCTTTGCTCACATGCATCTTGTCATACCAAGCCCTGTGGCCATCCCTGCTGGGTACCACTGAGAGAAGGGACCAGGAGAGATGGGGAAACTCTCCCAAACACCACGATGCTGTGATAGGATTTCTCCCCTTGTCTCTCTATGCCAAACCATTGCATATTTTGCTCATCTATTTTTGGGGTGTGCGGGAGCTGGTGGCGGGCAGGGGCACAGCACCATCTAGTGCTTCTGGTGCTGGGGAATCACCCAGCTGGAAAAGCAGGAGCAGGAAATCCCAGCAGGTTCCAGCGAGCTGGGCTCTGCTCTATATTTCTGAGAAAGGAGGCCAGTCACTCAGCGCCTTTATTTTGGGAGCTGTCAGGCTGTGGTTGCTAACGTGGCGTCTTTGGCCTCATGGTGGGAGGGCTTGGGGGGGATGGTCGGAGGATGGATGGGGCCATGGCTGAGCAAAGAGGGGTTGGTGGCTCCAGTTGTGGTGATGAGGAGTGGTGGGAGGAAGGAGCGCTGGGGCACACGTGGGCTGGTGGTGCGGGAATAAGGAACGAACGCCCACGTCTCAGCCTTGGCACTGTGCGATGCTGTGGCTGCTCCTGGTGGGGGATGCTCGAGGGGTCCCTTTGCACCGAGCTTGGGTGTAAGCGAGGGTAGCATGCCCTTTGGGTGCTGGGCGGTGCTGGGAGGGGGTGGAATCTGTGTTACTGTGTGCGAGGGGCAATGCTGCTGTGTCCCCTGTCCTCTCTCCTCATCCACCCACCGTGGGATTCCCAGTGTGGTGAGGGCTGTCCATCCCCTGAGCAAGACCTCAGCACTGAAGCACACTGGGTTGGGGATAAACGAACCAAGAAGTGTTGTTTTTGGGAGGGAAATGCCTCCCTTGGACACCCAGCTGGATGCCAAAGGGGCCCTTGGCTGCAAAAGTGTGGCAGCAGGTAACAGGGTGTTTTGAGGGCAGGAGGAGCTGTGTGTGCCCTACGGATGGGGCAGAGCCCAAGCTGCCTGCAGTCACTCCCCTCCATGTCCCCCTTCTGCCGTGGGGTGAGCTGAAGTGTCATGGCAGGGGGTCCCACGGAGCTTTCTCCTCTTCCAGAGCAAGCTGGTCAAGTATTTCAGCCGGCAGCTGTCCTGCAAGAGGAAGGTGGCCTTGCAGGAGCGCAATGCCAAGCTGGAGGGCTTCCCCCAGCTCCTGCACTGGTTCCGCATCGTCGACATCCGCAAGGAGGTGATGGAGGTAAGGGCTGGGCATTAACTGCTGCAGGTTTGTCTGCTGAGCCTCTCCGCTAGTGCTTTTCCCAGGGGACTGTGGGATCCTTGAGCAAAACTAGGCAAGGGGGCAGTTTTTTGTGAGATGGAGGCTGGTTTGAAGCCATGTGTTTTGGCCCTGGGACAGGCTGGAGGGGACAATGCTTACAGTGGGGAGCGGGGTGGGAGACCAGAGCAGAGGGACCAGGTTGTTTTACTGCATGGGACGATGCTGCAAACCCGTGGTGGGATGTGCCGGCACGGGCCACCCCACAGCTCTCCCTCCGCCCACCAGTGAGAACACCTCATCACTGTTCCCAGTGAAGGACATGGGTGCCAGGGGCGCTTCATGGGTGCTGCTCCCCACAGCGGGGGTCCCCCGTGTCCCCATCTCAGCGTGGTGGTGCCATGGCAGGTCATGGCATTCTGCCATGTCCTGGGCTCCTGCAGGTGATGGGTGGGGCAAGGGGGTGGCACATGGAGGTGCTCCCCTAACAGCCCCCCTGGGGAAGAGAAAAGTCTGTGCTGAAGCTGCCAGTCCCTGCATGTGCTCTGAGCAGGGGCAGGTTTACCTGGTGCCCCCAGATGTGCTGGTGCTGAGCTGGGTCTGGATATACATGAGACTGTGAAAAAAATTGAGATAAACCTGGGGCTCAAACTGTGTCTTCTGGGTTTTCATGTGGATTGAGATGGAAAATGAGTGATTTTTTGGGTCTGTGACCCAAACAGGGCAGCAAAAGGAAATGCCTTATCTGTGTGTGCCAAGGTGCTGGTTAGAGGATGCTCTGGGGTGGTTTATTCCTCTTGTCTCACTCCTGCCCCGTTTCCCCCTGTCAGGAAATCACCCCCGGTCAGCTGAGCCTGGAGGAGCTGCTGGACATGACCGACGACCAGGTCTGTGCGACCGTGGAGAAGTTCGGGGCCAACAGCGAGGAGTGTGCCCGCCTGAACGCCTCCCTCTCCTGCCTTCGCAGCGTGCACAAGTCCGGTGAGTCGGGCACCCTTGTCCCCTCGAGCTGGTCGAGGTGAGCGGCACTGTCCCACTGTGGTGACACCAGAGCGTGGCTTTAATGCATCAGAGGTGTTTGCAGGGTCTTCTCAGTGGGTCGCAGAGCTCCAGCACCCCTGGGGGTGGCCCGGTACCCACTGCCTGCAGGGGACATCTTTGCTCTGGTGCATCCCTGTGGCTCGGGAGCGTGCGGGGGGCTCACCTCTCTAGGACATGATGATTGTTGGTTCTCTGCAGGGAGGCTTCATCCGAGGAGGGTGCAGAGGTTCTTATGGGGTCCCCCTGACACCTTTTACTTGCAGGAGCACAGTCAGCAAACTCAGGAAAATCCCCTGAGACTTAGCAAGCTCCTACCACTCGGCATCACTTCCTGGCTGGCTGCAGAGCGAAGCCCCCGTGCCGAAGCCCCTTCCCAGGGCACGCACAAGCCCTGCTTCCCCTTCCCCTGGGGCGGGTGTCTGGGTGCGGGTGCTGGGGTGCGGGTGCTGAGCTGGCGGGTCCCCGGGCGGTGGCAGCATTGCTCCGTGCTGCAGAGGCGGCTGCACGGAGCAGAAGCTGCTCTGGCTTCATCTGAACTTTGCAGCCTGCGAGTGGAGCAGGGCCGGGGGCTGCAGCGGGGCCTGGGGTTGCCTGGGGAAGGGGCGAGCAATGTAGCAGGTGGCTGTGCAGGATCTGGCCCTCCTGGCACCTTGTCCCCGGCCAGCCGAGCCTTGCTAGATGATGCTGTCCTGGAGCTGAGGGCTCCCTTCCTGGGGCTGCTGCCGACAGGGTCTGGCCTGGGGGTGAGTTTGGGGTTCTTCTCTACACATGTGCCCCCCCCCAAAGGAGAGGCCCAGCTTCACCTCCCAATGTGTGATGGGAACCATATCCCACCAGCACAGCTCTTCCCCACTGCTGAACTCGTGTTTTGATGCTGGTTTGGGGGAGCACTGCCTGTGGTGGGGATGTTCCCTTTTAGAGCAGCTGGGGGAATGGTGAAACCCCATTTCAAAGTCTATATCCCCCACTGACCCCTTCCCAAGGGCTCCCCTCCTGGTCCTAGCCTGGGGTGATGGTAGTGGGCCGGTTTAGCTGTGGTCCCTGGTGGGAGCTCTGGTCTGGCAACGTGTCTGGCTGTGACCCTTCTGTAGGAGAACCCCAGTCCTGCCCAACCCCCGAGGTTTGGGGACCCCAGACACCTCTGCCCAGCTCCCGTCCCCTCTCGAGGGGCTCCTCCAGCATAGCTGTGTCCCAGGGGCTGGCGGGATGGAGGATGAGCCCTGCTGGGGTGTAGCTGCTGGGTTTTCAGCTGGGCTTTGCAGGTTCAGAGCTGCCCCGGGGGACAGGGCTGTTGGTGAGGAGGGTGCTGTGATGTGGCTTCACCAAAAAGCAGCTCTCAGGGACCAGCAGTGTCCCTGCATTACTGTCTCTTGGCATGACATGTCCCAGGGGACAGGAGGGGTCTCAGCCATGTCCCCCCGCCGTGGTTACTGCGGTTTCTTTGGGCTTCCTGCGTGGCGTGGCACAGCGTGGCAGGGCCAGTCCGTGCCGGGGGGAGGCAGCCGAGGGCCCCACCACCGCATGCTGGTGCGAGCACCCACTGCCACCCCTGCGCCAGAGCAGCGAGGTGGGGATGGCTGAACCCAGTCTGACATTTCCTGCAGACCACGAGTCCTCTGTGCTCTCTAACTCCCTAAATCCAGCTCCTGCCCTCCTTCCCTTTGGCATTTTCACTAAGTCTCTCCGCTATTTGAGGAAGGGCATCGATGCCTCCCTCAGAGCCTGGGGGAGGCTCTCAGCCTGCTCTTTGTTTAAACACCTTTGACTTTTAAAGACCTTTGCAAACAAATACTGCTTTACTGGCCGTGCTGGCTCAGCCAAGCCCCTGCATCCCCACTCCTGCCCCTCTGCTTGCTTGGCCAAGGGGATTCCTCCACTTCCCAGTGGGACCTGTGCTTTGGAAAATCCACATGAGCCTTTGGCTCAGCAGCTGCGGTGAGGATGCTAAAACATCTTCTGCCTCTCTGGTGGTTTCTGGCTGAGATTGTGGGGGGGTACCAGGGGGCTGCTGGATGCTCGCTGCTCGATTTGCTTTTTAATGGGGCAGGTGATGGGGCTGCCAGCCCTCCCAGTAGGATGTGGCTTGGTGGACCATTGGGTCCCTGCAGGAGGGAGTTTGCTGCTATCTGGGCACTGCGCGTTTGCCTTCCCCAGCGCTCCATTTAACCCCATCCATCATCGCGCCGCTCCCGGGGGGGCTGTGGGCTGGGCTGTGCGGCGGGGGCTGCTGTTTCATCCCTCCGGCATTGCAGAGATGCTGCAGTGGCCGTTCCTGCTCTGCCAGGGCTGGAGAATTGGGTTCCGCAGTGCAATGGTCCCTGACATTGGTGTCTGGCGTGGGTCCCTGCTGTGCCAGCACCACGCGTGCACACTGCCGGAGAAAATCCTGGGGACATTGTCCATTGGACGGCACAAACCTTGGGGACAGGGAGGGGACAGGCAGCTCGGGGCACTGCAGAGCCCCTGCCACAGTCCTAAGGGATGCAAGAGCTCCCTGGGCCGTGAAGGAGACCAAATCTCCCTGAATTTCTAGAGGGTTTGGGTGCAGAAAGCTCCACCCAGCTTGCCAGATGGTCTCCTTGTACCCCACTCAACACAGCTGCGTGTCTCCTGCCTCAGTAGTCCCCCCAATTTTGCCCCCTGGGAGTGGGGGAGCACAGCCCCTGCCCCTCTTCTGCAGGGGTGGAGAGGAGAGTGGTGGTACCTCTGGCTGGATCAGGGTGAGATGCTCACTAGCTGCCCCAGGCTGAGGTTGGGTGGTAGGAGCAGATCATCCCATCCAGCTGCTCAAGTTTGGGTCTGAGATGCACCAGGGTCCAGGCAGCGCATTTTGGTGGGCTGTGGCAATGGGGAATTGGCAGAACAATACTTCTGGTACCTTTGGCAATGTTCTCCTGTGCTGTTGGGGGCAGCTGGGACTGAGCAACTATGGGCTGTAGCTCTCCCATCTGGGGTGCACTAAGGCAATGCTGTGCTGCTTCCACCCATGCATCCGTGTATCCTTCCCTCCCTCGCTCCCTCCCTCAGCTGCATTTCAGCAGATGCTGACCTGCTGGCTGGCTCGACGTCTTGGTGACTGGCCACCAGCCTTGCCTCATCTGCAAGCTTGGGCAAGGAAGGTCTTCACCCACTTCGAGAGCCTCCCCTTAATGTCCTCTTGTCCCCTGGGGCTCCATCTGATGCACCACCAACCCTCCATCAAGTGTTCTTAAAATTCCCTGCTAGATGTGTTGCCTTGATCCTTGCAGCCCCCAGGACCCATGTTACACCTGTCTGGACCCCCCTGACTGGGTGCCTGGGAGCTTTGCATGGCCCCAAGGAGATGGCTGGGTGCTTAATGGTTGAGTGCTGCATGGCAGGGGTTGGAAAGCGTCCCGGGATGGCAGCGATGCTCTCTTGGGATGCAGTGCTGGGATCTCAAGTCCATTGGGTTATCGCAGCCCCTCCAGAAGGAACCCCAAATGTACCACGCTGTGAGTGATGTGGGCTTTTATCTGCATTTTATCTCCTTATAAAACAAGAGATGGTCCTAATCCAAAAATATAATTAATGAACAAGTTGCTGCCTCTTTAAAACATAATGTAATTTCTTTGCAAGTGTAGTAGTGGTCGATTTCTAGAAGCCGAGATTAGTATTAATAAAGCAGGAATGAGGTACAGTATTAACCTTTTCCATCAATCTTTATTTATTGAGTTGTTAATTAGAGACATCTAATTTCCCAGGCCAATTCTGCCTGGTCTTGGGGGTTGGGGAGGAGGCAGGGAGGAAGCAGGATGCTGTTTCATCCCTTAAACAGTGATGAATTTTGTCAGGATGGAGTTTGATGTCAGGGAAGGAGCCCCTTCCCAAACCAAGCATCCAAGGGGCAGCTCCAGCAGCAGGGAAAGCCCCAGGTCATCTTAGAAACCAAAAGTATGTTATATTTATCAAATATAGTGGCAACCCTATATTAAACACCTGCTTTATTTTGTTAACAAGTCAGTATTGGATTTTTCTCAGCTGCGAAACCTTACACTTGGCAGTGGTATTTTATTAGCAGCCAGGGCGTCAGTTTTGAACTCGAAGCGGGATTAATTTAATATTAAGTAAGAGCTGAGCGGGGCCGCTGTGGATTGAGGAGTTGATGGTGTGTGACTAGTGAGTTATGCATGGAGGTTATTAGCTGTCCTACAGGGAAAAATGATCCAAAGCTGAATATTTATGAGTTGTCCTGGCCCTGGGAGGGCTGCAGGTGGCTTGGGGACAGTGCAGGGTCAGACAGGGCGATGAGCAACAAAAAGAAAGCAGTGAGCATCCTCACTTGGGGCAAATTTGAAAGCTGTACTGGGCATGGTGTAAAGGTTTTCAGGGCCCGTCCCTCCTGGTGACTGGTGTCCCCAGGCCTGCAGGGCTGTCCCTCCAGCACGTGATGGGGCTGAAGCACTGGGGGGTGCTGGGGTTTATATTACCTCAGGGTGAGGGTGCGGTCGCTGGGGTGCTGGTGCTGGGAGAGGCAGCTGCAGCTGTGGAGGTTTCCCTCACTGTAAAGCAAGCTGAGAGCTTGCTCTGGTTTTGGGCACATCTCCATTTGGTCATCTGGATGCTGCCTTTGGGGAGGGAAAGAGCAATCACAGCACCCCCAAGTCAGGGTGCAGGGCTCCTTTGGATGGGACCTGCTGTCCCCAGCTCCCTAAGCAAATTATTCCCAGCATTTTGTTTTGGGAAATCAAAGCAAAACTTGCTATTTGTCTTTTGGAACTGGGGGAAAACAGCTTTTCTGGTGACATTTTGCCATCGCTCTACATCTCCCAATCCACAGGCTGCATCCCGACAGCGGGTGCTTCTCTCCACCTCCTCCCAGGAGTTTGTTTTCTTGTTGATTTTAGTAGAGTAGTTCAGAAAAAGCTTCTTCCCTAATTAAGTACAGTGGAGTGAAGGAGGCTGGGCTAAATGGGGAGGCAGCGACAGCACCAAGGGGATTAATAAAGCCAAATTTGGCCAAGGGGAGCATCTCTCCCTTTGTGCTTGGTGGCCAGGGCTTGGTGGCCCGCAGGGTTGAAGTGGTGGTGGGCGGCTGTAGCTGGTGCTCACTTCAATATGCAATTAATATTCCCTATCTAAACGAAACAGATAGTCATTTTATGAGCAAACAGGCAGCCTTGCAGCACCGTTGAGGAAGACAGAGCTTGGGGAAAACTGGGCAAAGAGGAGTTTGCTTTTGTGCAAGCTCTTCCCTTGCTTTTCCACCTGGGAATCGGCTCTGGCAGAGCAGCAACACCCAGGGGAGCCCCGGGAGGGAGTGAAATCTGAAAGCATTTAACACGCTTTGCAGAAAGAAGAGCTTGGGGATTTTTTTTTGTTATTTTTTTTCCTTTCAAGTGTGTTCTCGGTTTAAGCGTATCTCATCAAGTGGAGTGCCCGCTACCTGCAGCGTGCCTATAAGCTGTGTGTTGAAAATACATTTCCCCAGCTTATCCGGGGTATTTTTAGCCCTGACGCACCCACCAGCCCCATAATGGGTTATTTTTGCTCTCGAGTGCATCAGTCGTGTTACGACACAGCTGAGCGTTGAAGCGGACAGCAGCAAGGGGGGGACGTGGTGGCTAGGATGCCACGGCCAAGCTTTGGGTTGCAGGAAGCAGCCTTGGCTCTCCTTCTTCATTAGCTGCTGCTAATTACTGCTGGGGGTGGGAGCACGGGGATGCTGCCGGGCCTGCAGCATCCGGGCAGTTTTGAGTTATGTAAATTTATGCATGCAGAGCAACCAATGGAGGAGCACCTTGATTTGCATATATGCATGCTGATTTGCAAATCCCTGGGTGCGGGTTAATTAACTGGAGGGGTCAATGGCTTTCGGGAGAATTTAATTCCTGGCGCTGTGTCCTCCCTCACCTATGCCCGTGCAGGGCCACGGCTGCACCTTCCCCAGCCCCAGGCTGTGTGTGAAGCCAGGTGCCACCAGCCAGGGTGGCCTCAGGGACCAGTGGCCACCAGTAGCCGTGGGGACGAGGAGACGCCCGGCTACGTGGCACTGGGTTGGTCACCCAGCTCTGCAGGTGCCTGCGGGCAGGGTGGCCTTGCTGGGGGTGACGTGACCCTGTGCAGAGCTGCATTTTGGGGGGGGGTGACACACTCCAACTCGTCACCTGCTGTGTCCCCACTTGGGCTGGGCTGTTTTGGCGAGGGGAGGGCTCAGGTGTGTGCCCGTAGTGGCTTTGGAGATGCAGCTCCGCCCTGGCAGTTCCCTGCAGGCAGAGGCAAAGCTTTTCTAAGCAGGATTTTTTCTTAATTAATTAAAATATGAGGAAGGACATTAACTTTTTTATGAGCTTCTTTCTGGGTCTTTTTGTAGCAGCTGGAGAAGCAACTTAAAAGCAGATGAATAGGACTTGCTTTATTTTTTATTTTTATTTTCTGCTTTGGGAGAGTGATTCAGGAAAACTTGTCCCTCTTTTCCCCCGGAGCTTTTGTCAATCCAATCCTACAGCTTTCATTTCAAAAGCCTTTTCCTCCTTTACTTTTCTTCTGGAGCTTGAAATAAAATGTTCCCCTTGAAAAGGCTGGGGAATGAAGAGGCCAGGCAATTAATAATCAAAACGGGGATGGGGAAGGAGGGTTTTTAAAATAAAGAGATTATGGTTTTCATAGTGGAGGCGATCAAAAGGAGTCAGCAAAGGGACCTTAAATTGCGTCCATCACTTTGGCTCTGTGAAGTTGCTGCTGACAGCCCTTTACTCATCTCTGTGCCAGTGGAGATGAATAATTAGAAGCGGAGAGGAGCCCCACTTAATTACAGTCCTCTTCCTTTATGCAAATGGCACAACTGGGCAGCACAGGGAGCGGGGGGCAGGTTTGAAGGGGTGAGATGGGGTCATCAGCTTTAGCCAGGCAAGGGGTGTCCCATGCCCGTGCCACATTGTGGGGTGGTGGTGGGAAGCTGGGTGACAGTGGGGGAGACACATGGGGGCCTCATCAGGTGGGAAAACACACGGGCAAAGCACTTCTCTAACTCTTGCAAAGCACCTGCTTGGGTTTGCACATGGAGAAACTTCTTGCTGGTGTTTCAGAGGCAGGGGGATGCGGTGCCGGGGAGAGGACTGTGCAGTTTTTGCCGTGCTGCATGGCCGTGTCTGTGTGCTCTTCGCAGGCGGCAGCCTTTCCAAGCAGGATTGGACCATCCAGTGGCCCACGACAGAGCCGGGGAAGGAGAACAGCCCTGGGTGCCAGCTGGAGCCGGGGCAGTGGGGCAGGACACACCTCTCGCAGAGCCCCAAGGTCCAACCCAAGTGTGGGCAGCATCACTGCCACGCGGGCTCGCCCCACGGACCCATGTACACCCACGTGGACCGGCTGACCGTGGAGGGTCACCCGGGGCTGTGCCCACCCATGGAGTCTGGCCACCGCTCCCTGCCGCCCTCCCCACGCCAGCGACACGCTGCTCACACCCCTCCACGTACCCCCAACATCGTCACCACAATGACGCCGCCAGGCACGCCACCGGTACGACGGAGGAATAAACTGAAGCCCCCTGGGACGCCCCCGCCCTCGTCACGAAAACTGATCCATCTCATCCCTGGCTTCACTGCGCTGCACCGGAGCAAGTCCCACGAGTTCCAGCTGGGGCATCGCGTGGATGAGGCGCACACCCCCAAGTAAGTGGGTGCCCCAAGGTGCTGGCACACGGTGGGGTGATGAACCCCATCCCAGCTCCTTTGGAAAAGCGCTTTGGTCCCTAAATGTCAGGGCATGCTGTCTTTTTTTTGAACTTTGAGGTAGAAAAGCCCTTTGCTGCTCTAGCAGACAGCGGGGATGCTGCTGGGACAGGGTCTGATTTGCTCCCTGAGTCCTAACTTTGGGAGTGGGGACTGGATGGGGAGTACCGAGGGGCTGCTGCTTGCCAAAGCCCCCGCATGCCGGAGTGTGGCACAGGGGCGTTGGATGGTGGCATTCTGCAGCTGCAGCACGGGGATGCACAATCCGACCATGAAAGCTGCGTGTGAGTGCGAGCACGTGCAAGAGCGAGATGGGAAGAATCATCTCAGCTGAAACACGCATATGTGGATAGATTAAAGCCTTATGGAAATAACACTTCATATTCTAGAGACATTCCCAGTATCTTTTCCATCCTGATGGTGTTTGCAGAGGGCTCTTTGGGCTCTGGCCATGCCAGAGCTCCTTCCTGCTGCTCTTGCTCTGTGGCTCCGGTGCCGGCAGAGGCTGCTGCTGTGCAGGGAAAGGGCTCCCCGGCATCAGCACGCTCCCTCTCCATCTCCTTCGGGCCCTTTTGGTGGCTGTGCTCAGAAAGTCCTTCTGCTGCCTTGGTGTGGGGTGGCAGGGGGGACCCGTGGCCACTTTGGGCCATCATCTCTTCTCCCCAAGGCTGGAGCATGGCTGGTCCTCCCTAGCCTCCCCAGACAGGAGCCCCGGGACAAGCTGCCCTATTTGTCCACTAATTTGGGGTTCTTAGAAAAAAAGGCCTGATCAGAGTCCCCTGAGGGTTGTGGTGGGAGCAGGAGAAAGCCCAGGGTACCCTGCCATGGCCGTGGCAAGCTGCCAGCAGACCCTGCTGCCTGGCCCCGGGGACAGCCATGGTGCTCAGGCAGCTCTGACTGAGGCACATAAAGGATTAAAATCTGCTGCCTGCTCAGGGTGCTGGCCGCTGCCAGACCCTGGTCTCCTCCTCTTTGGGCAGGGGCAGACTAGAGGGGCTTTGGGGTGGCAGATGTGTTGGTGGCCGCAGCATCGCCGTGTCACTTGTTTCCCAGTTGTGTCCCCAAGGCTGTGGCAGCTGCCGGGCTGTGGTCACTGTGCGAAATGAGAGAATCGTCCTCCCCTGAGCTGGGAGGTTTTGGTCTCTAAAAGCTTTCAGCTTTTGGAAATTAATTTATTTCATCTGGACAATGCCTCCTGTAAGGCCACCCTCCCCCTTGTTCTTAGCCACCAGAAATTCATATTTACTTTGGTCTGTCCCCAGCGAGCACCACCACGTTTGCAGGAGCGGAGCCTTAGCAAGCAGCCTGTTTCCTCTCGTACTTTTATTTGCATTTTGGCATCTGATCCAGGCTCTACCCTTTGGTAACACAGCGGGTCTCACTGAGGCCGAAGCCATTTGATCCCACTGTGGTCATTGCACACCCCAGGTCATGCTGACATGGATCTGGGGCGAGGTTTGGACAGGGGTGTCTGGACCTTACTCCAGCAAACCCTTTGGCCAGTGATTCCCTGAGCCAGCCAGGGATGGGATGCCTCGGCTTTCCTGCAAGGGGAAAGAACAGGACAGGGCGTGGAGAAAGAAATTGTAAACAGGGTTTGCATGAACATGGTCACGTCCCCTCTTCTTTCGTCGCTCTCTGCCTTCCTTCAGTCCCTGCCTGACCATGTCCAGTTGCCCAGCATCTCTGGTGCTCCCCTTCCCAGCAGTGCTGGGCAACTTTAATTCATGATTAGTGAATTAATAAAGGAAAGAGAAAGACAGTATTAACAGGGCTCTGTTGTGCTAACATCCTACTGGGGGTTCGTCGTGTCAACGCGGGAGGACCCAGGCTGTTGAAGGCCGCTTGGAGAACTGGGGAAGTTAATTTTCTCTAATGGCACTTAATGATTTTTCAGGAGGCAACCACTAAATCCTGCTTGCTAATCCCATTAGTGTTTTGGGATAGTAATTAGTGCATTAGAGGCAGCTTCTTCTTTTTTCCCTTTTTCTCTAGCAGAGGCATGCTGAAGTTTTAGCTGTAAATTGGGCTGGATGTGGTGGCTAACACTTTGCCTGGCAGAGAGAAAACGTAGCTTTTTTGGGTCTTTTATCAGCTAATTCTTATTTTATGGCTGTGTCCATGCAATGCATGCGTGTTATTGGTTTGGTTTGTTTTTTTAATATCATAACTTCTGCAATATCTGAGTTCTCTGTGCTCTTTGCAGAAGGGAGGTTTCCACCTGACCTCAAACATGAAATGGAGCTCATCCCTGAAATACGTTTTCAAGCCTGCTCTGATCAGCCCCTTCTGGCTTTAGTTGTACCAGTGGGCTCTTTGTTGGCTTTGGATTGCAGCTTTCTGTTCCCTGTGTCATGTCCCAGCATGGAAACAGGTGCTAGACCTGGAGAGCTGATAGTCTGGGGACACTGCTGGGGATCCCAAGAGCTGGGTGGGATCTCCTGAGGCAATTTTGGGTCTAGATTTACCCCTGTTTACCCCCATACTGCCTCTGGTGGGACCTATCCAAAACCCTCCCAAGAAGGTGTCCCTCAGGCTGATTTATCTCCTAACCTGGCATGCCCCATCTCTGGATGGGGTGAAATGGGCTCTGGAGAGCCAGGGGTGCCCTTGGCAAAAGCAAAAAGATCTCTCCCCATGAGCTGTGAGCTGGTATTGATGGATGGAAGCTGTTGGGGCACTGCAGGGCTGCCCCCAGAGTTTTTTCTGTCTCACTGGAGATACAAAAGTAAAACACCACCATGCATTTGGCAGAGCAGTCGCAGTGACTGGGTTCTCTCTGAAGCAAGGCCACCATGTACCACTTGACGGCAGCTCATAGGTTTGCTTGCATTTTGTGTTTCAGGTATTAATTTCCAGCATTTAATCCGTTGTCTTTATATACCAAGACCTTCTGAAGCAGGGGTTAAATTTTTTGAGATTACAGCCTCAGATTTTCCTGCACGGAGCCTCCAGCTGTTGACCGTAACTCTGGGGTACAGAACATTACTCCTAAAAAGATCCCCTGGCTTCCATAAATCCACAATCCATAAACATCTCATGAATGGTCTTGAAACGGAAACAAAACATTTAGAGTGGTTGATAATATAATGCCCATTTAATACCTCATGAATTCTATGGGCCATTTAAATCTTTCATGGATAGTTAATAATTATTCATCAGCAAGAAGTCAGAAAAAAAACAAACTCTGAATGGAAGGTCTTAAAAATACATTAATTGGGGAACAAAAGTCAAGCTAGTTAAGATCAAGCTCAAGAGCGTGTGTTAACCCTTGGAAGGGTTTGTATAAAATAGCCCTCTGGAGGCTGCCTGGGGTGTGCCCTGGGGTGTCCTGCCCCGGAGTGGTGGTTGGGTGGTCTTCATCCTTAGCCCCATGCAAATGGGAGGTGAATTCAGAATCTCATCCGTTTTGCAGTTGTGGTTTCTTTTGCCACCCAGGTGTCTGACTGAATTAATGAACTCCATGGCCTTCAAAGAATAGCCTCCGGCAAGCAGCTGAGGAGGGAGGATCAGAGCATATCGATGGTGAATTAAAGCAGCATGACCTGGCAGAGCTGAGTGCTGGAGGAAATGCTGAACTCTCCCAAAGGCTAACATGAAGCAGCTGCTGGAAAGGACATGCTGTTTTGTGGTGTACCTAGGTCAGGTTTGGGCTGGGATGAGGCTCCTCCAGCTCAAGCCAGCTTTATTTAGGGTAAGGTTTCAACAAAATCTCCTTATCCTGTATCGTTGCCGTCACATTCAAGGTGTGGATGCAGACAGGGTTAGGTGTTCTGGTGGAAAAGTCTGTTTATCTGAAGCCTTATGACGGTTGACTTCTTTGTCTTTAGCCTCATTGGCACTGAGGCTGTTTTTTGGTTCTGGTTCTCAGAATCAGGATGAGGATATCCTGGATGGATGAAGTCAGAGGTGAAGTTCACATCTGATCTGGTGATAGAGCATGTATTATTTTTTTTGTTCTTTTTCTTTTCCCTTGTATTGTTTCCAACTCTAAACCAACTCTAACTTGACACTTTCTCTGTTGTGGGTGTTTTTCTCCATCCCAGGTAACAGAGAAACCCCTGAGGATGGGGTATTTCCTGTGGCACTTGGCCAAGTCCAGTGTAGGTTCCTCTTTGGGACATCTAGGCAGAGAGGTGAAAGACTGAGTCATAGATTTGCAGAAACCTAAGACCAGAGTCTTTTCCACCATCCCCACCACACCAAGCCGCCTGCGGGTTAGACTGTCCCTCAGAGTTAATCATCTTAGCTGGTCTTAAATGCTACTAAGTGATAGGCCATTTATTCTGCTGCTCTGCAACCTTTATAATGATGTTTTTCCCTTGTATCAATTCCAATCAACGCTTCTACCAGGTAGATCAATTATTTGATATTCCGCGTGGGCTGGATTTGAAAGAGCAACGTCGAGATAGCTCTTGTGCCTGGTGTTTCTCTGACATTTCCCAGGCTTGGAAAAGCAGGTAGACTCTTGGCACTGGGGATGAGCAAGAGATTGATGTTTGCAGAGCAAGTGGATGCAGTGGGACGCTACCAACATGTGCAAATAATCCGTATGCAGCATCTTCAGCGTTGTGTTATTCATCCTGTACGGTGTCCGAAAATGTAGAGACCTGCCTGGTACTTCTGCAAGCGGGAGAGCATTGAAGTGTGGGAATTTGGAGAGCAAAAGGAGCAGCATCTCCCCTTGTTTCCAAATAATCTTTCTGATTAATCTTGGTGGCTTTGATGGCAAGTCAGGGCTGTGGAGTTTTGCACAGGTCCTGGATTGTCTCCAGATCTCTCAAAGTATGGTCTGCACACTGTGTCTTGACAGTGATGGGTAGCCTCCGTAACAAACTGGCTCTCTGCTGCAATTATCCCACTGCTCTGGGCTGTGATTCTCCTTAGGTATGTCATTAATGTTAATTACTGCTGTGGTATTCCATCAAAAGGAGCAGGAG